GGGCGTGCTGCACAAGCACCAGCGGGCGCTGCACAAGTACAGCCTGATGAAGAGGCAAATGATGAGCGCCGCCGTGCAGAACCGCGAGCCGGAGTCCGTGGAGCAGCTGGAGTCCCGCATCGTGGAGGTGGGTGGCGTGGCGGCCGAGCAGGCCCGTGGGAGCCTTTCCCCTCCTGGCCATGGTGGGACCACAGCCGTCCTGGTGGGCTCCCCTGGGTTGGCTCCATGTGTCTGGAACAGAGCTGGGGGTGCAGTGGAGGCAGGGAGCCGGCCCGGGTGCCCAGAGTGACGCGGCTCCCTGCCCGGCGCTCCCTCCCCGGCCCTCTGTTACCTCCCACCTTCCAAATGCCTGGTGAAGGCTGAAGGAGAAGGGGCCGCCCTGGCTCAGGGAGTGCGCTGGTGTTCCACCTTGGTGCTCCCGTTGCCGGCTGGGTGCAAAGGGCAGCTGTTTGCTCTGCAGCAGGAGAACGCGATTCAGACGATGGAGCTGCGGAACTACTTCTCCCTATACTGCCTGCACCAGGAGACGCAGCTCATCCACGTCTACCTGCCCCTCACCTCCCACATCCTCCGCGCCTTCGTCAACTCTCAGATCCAAGGGCACAAGGAGGTGAGTCCGCCCTGCCCCGGCCGCTGTCTCAGCCACGGCCTTTCTTTGTCCCGCCGCCCTTCCTTCCAGCCTGGCAGCGCGGTGGCCGGCCGCCCTCGAGAGGTGTTTCAGTGCAGTTGGGGTCCTTGTGGGCCTTGGCACACGGTGCTCACCCGGATCTTCTAGTCTCCTGTGTAGCCAAGATCAGAATCGTGAGGGTGTCCCCGGAGATTCCTGCGGGGTGGAGGGAGGCGCAGACAGGGACAGTTTGCCTTCTGGAGGGATTTGAGGAGTCCGAGGCTCCCGCACCCTGAGGCGGAGAGAAGGGTTCTGGGCGCCTGGGAGTGCCGTAGGTGGGTGTTTTCCGAAGATTCCTGGCCGGCCTCCTCCAGATGGCGGTTCCTTCAGCCTGTGAGAAGAAGCGCTGCCAAGGTCCTGGGGGAAGCCTCCGTTGATTTCTGGTGGCTAGCTCACTGCAGCGCCGCTGTGATCACAGGCGTGAGCCCCTGTGCCCGGCTGAAACTCTGTTTATTAAGTAGCTGCAAGCAGCTTTGAAGCCGTGGTCTGTGGTTTGTGTTGAACGGCACCGAGTGTCTGGGATGGTCACGAGATTCCACACTGTCCCCGGCAGGTGCTTGGTGCCTTGGGGGCCGTCGGGCAGTTTGGGAATGGCAGGCCGGAGGTGGCCGTGGTGGGGCTGAGAGGGGGGGACAGCTGCTGTATTAGGAGCATCACTGTGACACGGCCAGGGTCTCAGGGGCCAGATTGGGCTTGGACATGTGAGTGTCCGGGTGTGTCCTCAGTGAAGGAACGTGACCAACAGGCGGGGCCCTGTCCTGCCCGGGGCATGATGCCATAACCCTGGTCCTACCAGGCTTTTTTATTGTGGTGATGAGGAATTTCCAGTCCTGGGATGCTGAGATGAGTGTACTGTGGTCCAGTGACTCAGCCTCCCCTGCAGGCCCCCAGGGTGCGCCCTGCCCTTCTCTGGCCACCTGAGCCCCTGCCCGGCAGGTCTTGGCGTGACCCCTGCCTCACTGCCACGCTCCCCTCCTCACATCCACAGCATCCGTTCCTTGCCCTGGTTCCCAAAGTGCTTGGCGAGTGGGGCTGCTGTTTGCATTTGGTTTGGCTGCTACTGATTTGGTGGATGTGGTCTCTGTGTTTCTGGTTTGCTGTTTGGTTTTGAGGTGGAGTCTTGCTCTGTCGCCCAAGCTGGAGGGCAGTGGTGTCGTCACAGCTCACTGCAGCCCCAGCCTCCCGAGTAGCTGGGACCACAGGCAGGCGCCACCACATCCGACTAATATTTCTGATGTTCTGTGGAGACAGGGTGTCCCTATGTTGTCCAGGCTGGCCTTGGTGTTTGACCTGTCAAGGCTACATGAGGCCAGTGCCCGCACGGCAGCTAGAGCATGTGCTGGCGGTGACGCGATAGTGATGTTTCTCCCGATTCCACGGCAGGCAGATTGGCGGCCCTTTGGTCCTGGGTGCAGGGACCGAGGTGTGGGCGTCTGTGACCACAGGTCACATGAGGTCGCTGGTCCGCTCCTCGTTTGGGCTTCCTCTGTGCAGGATGGGCAGTACTGGTTCTGCCAGAGGTTCGAGGAGCTGATGCACCCGAGGGCCTCTCCCTCCCTGTCACTGGCAGGGGAAGGAATTGGGATGACAGCGTGAGGAGCAGCCCCGGCCTCGCCTGCTGATGTTGTTCTCTTCGTGTTCCCTTCCAGATGAGCAAGGTGTGGAACGACCTGAGGCCCAAGCTCAGCTGCCTCTTTGCAGGACCACACAGTGCCCTGACCCCACCATGTTCCCCGCCGGAGGACGGCCTGTGTCCTCACTAGCGCCTGAGGCTGAGGTGGTGCTCCCTGCGGCCGCACTAAAACCTCTTTCCAAACGGTGTGTCCGGTGTAATTCCCTTTGGACGGCAGCTCCCCTCCCCGCCACGTGCTGCAGCCGGAGCAGAGGAGCTCACGCCTGCGGGTCGGGAGGGGCATCCATGGACCACAGGGGCAGCTGGGCCACACTGCTCTTCGCCCTGTGGCCTGCTAGCCTGGTGGAGAGGGGTGGTGGGGTTCTCTGGAATGGTTTTCTTCTGATATGCAGAGCCCTGCCGGGAGGCAGGGATCTCTCATCTCATAGAGTTTGTGCCTGGGAGAGCGTGGGGGCGGGGCCTCCAGGTGCTGGAACAGTCGGGAGGGGCAGCGTCATGGTGCTGTCGGCCGAGGAGAGAGAGAGGGCAGGGCCGCCCTGCAGCCCAGGCATGGGACTGACCACGGACAGCAAGGGGACAGCCAATGGTGCCAAGGCCGGGAGGGAGGGCCGTCAGGCATGGGGCACGCACGGTGAATTTTCTAGGGAACTCGCTGCAGTCAACACCAGGAGCCCTGGTCTGGGAGTGGCCTGTGGGGTCCAGTGGCCTCATGCCCTGTGCCCGTGACCCCATGTGTGCCCGTGTCCACACCATGAGCCTGTGTGTGCTTGTGGTCTCAGGCCTGGGAGACAAAGGCGTGACGGAGAGCTGGGGCTCTGAGCGCGGGCGCTACAGCGGCTCTGTTCTCATCCCCGGACTCCCTTGATTTCTGGTGGCCAGTGTTGGAGTCTGCACCGTGCGGCACTGCGGCCGGATGGGCTGGCAGAGGACAGCGGGGGGCGTGGGGGGACGTGTGTTCCATTCCAGCTGGGGCTTTAGAGGAGGGACAGCCCCTTTTTAAGTGGATTTTCTTCTCTGAGGCGCCTAGAGCCCTCCTCCCAGCCTCTTGCCGCACACTTGTCGTCCTGGCCACCTGCCCACAGAGGGGACTGGTCTTCCAGGCCCCTTCCCTTCTCTGGATGAGGAAGGCTATTCTCCTGAGCTCTGTGGGGCTGAAATGCCCACCTCAGGTGTGGGTCTGCTTCTGCCCCAAACCCCTTTTGTGGAAGGCACACGGAGCCAGGCTGGGCTCCTGGACCCCTGCACTTCTCCGGAGCCTGAGGCCCCTCCCTGGCCGGCGGGGGAGGTGCTAGAAGAGGCCCTCGGGGGCTCCAGGCTTTCCGAGGTCCCTCCATTCTGCAGCTGCTCGCTGGCCTCCGGGGTGTTCTCTCCTCTCACGGAGGACGCTTCCCTTCTGCCTGTACCCACGGGCAGCTCATGGCCCCGGGATGGAAAGGGGACTCTGTGTGCGCCTCACAGGCAGGGGATCCGTCATCCACCGTGAGCCAGCCAGAGGGAGCGGCTGTGCTGACTTGGCTGTGGGGCTCGGGCCCAGCCCGGCCTGTGGTTCTGCTGGTGCCTTCCTGCTGTGGGCTGGGCTGCGTCCTCCTGGCCAGATGAGCAGAGGGCATGTTCCCTTTGGAGCCCAGTGGGTGGGCTATCCCGTGAGTCCCTAGCCCACCCGAGTCTTGGGCTGTGCTGCCTTCTGACCCCCGTCTGCAGAGACAGGTTCTCAGTTGGCATGAGTGGCACCGTGACACCTGAGCCATGAAGCGTGACCCTGTGTGGGCAGAAGGCTGCAAGGACTCTCCGTCCTTCCTGCACCTGCCTGGGGCCTGTCCAGCTGCAGGACCATGGAGGCTGTGGGGAGCCGTGGCGGGCGTCAGGCGCTGCGGCCTCTGTCTCCAGAGTAGGCCAGGCACACGGTCCTGACGCAGCCCTCCAAGGAGAGAGCAAGACTTCAGCATGAGCTTTTCTGAAGGAGCTTTCCTGGCAGGGACTCTGGGGTCAGTGAGTGTATGAGAGGCCACATGCCTGGTGGCATCTCCCTGTGGTGGAAACTTCAGGAGCAGGGTCTCAGGGTCCTCGTATCCAGAGGCTGAGGATGGAGCTGGAAAGCAGGAGGGCAGGGGTGAGGAGGGATCAGGAGGGCAGGGGTGAGGAGGGAACAGGAGGGCAGGCGTGAGGAGGGAACAGGAGGGCAGGGGTGAGGGGGAACAGGAGGGCAGGGGTGAGGAGGGAACAGGAGGGCAGGCGTGAGGAGGGAACAGGAGGGCAGGGGTGAGGGGGAACAGGAGGGCAGGGGTGAGGAGGGAGCAGGAGGGTAGGGGTGTGAGGAGGAGGGAGCAGGAGGGCAGGGGTGAGGAGGGAACAGGAGGGCAGGGGTGAGGGGGAACAGGAGGGCAGGGGTGAGGAGGGAACAGGAGGGCAGGGGTGAGGAGGGAACAGGAGGGCAGGGGTGAGAGGGAACAGGAGGGCAGGGGTGAGGGGAAGCAGAAGAGGGGTGAGAGGGAGCAGGAGAGCAGGGGTCGGGGGGACAGAAGGGCAGGGGTGAGGAGAGAGCAAGAGGGCAGGGATGAGGGGGGACAGGAAGGCAGGGGTGAGGAGAGCAAGAGGGCAGGGGTTGGGGGGCAGGAGGGTTAGGAGGGCAGGGGTGAAGGGGGGCTGGAAGGCAGGGGTGAGGGGGGACAGGAGGGCAGGGGTGAGGACAGCAAGAGGGCAGGGGTTGGGGGGCTGGAGAGCGGGCCCTGGAGAGCAGGGGTGCGAGGGTCAGGAGGGCGGGGTGAAGGGGGTGCTGGAGGGCAGCGATGAGGAGGGCAGCCTGTCTCCCATGTGTGACTGTGGCCGCTTCCTGTGTGCCCTGGTGTCGGCTCTGTGGAGGGGTGGGCACTGGCTTTGGAACACCTCCCTCCCAGTGCCTTCTAAAGGGCAGCAGAAAGAGGCCTGCCAGGCAGGGGCAGCAGAGGCCACCTTTCTTCTTCCTCCTTGGCCCCCGCCCTGTGCTGCCTGGGCAGGTCCCCAGGCCCAGGCGCTGAGAGGCTGTTTACTGCCGCAGGTGGAGGCCCGGTGCTGGAGGGAGGGGGGTTCCCCGCACGCCTCTCCAGCCCTCCTGCTGCCCATGGCCCAAGCCCAAGCCCAAGCCCAAGCTTGTGCCGGTCCTTGCGGCCTCACCCAGCTGGCAGGGACAGCTGTGTGTGATGCTGCTGGAGACGCCAGATGCCACGTGCCCTGCGAGGACGGCTTGCGGGGCCGCGGGAGGGGGACTGCCAATCATGGTGAAAGGGGACATTTTCACTGGGTCCTCCTGGTTCGTGTCCTGCGTACTCGGGGGCACTGTGCAGACAGCTGCCCTTTGTCTGCCGGAGACAGTGCAGGCAGGGGAGTCAGGTTTAGGGCTCTGACATGGGGCACGGGGACTCTGAGCAGAGGGATGTCAGGGCGGCTCTGTGCGTCTGAGGCCTTTGCTCTTGCTTTGCGGGTCTGTTCATGTCCAAAGCACTTTAGGAGGCTGCAGGGATCAATACCCAATATACCCAATAAACTGGAATTGTTTACACGTGACCTACATTTTGGACGGTTTATCAATAAACGTGTGAACAACTGTTATTAAATGTGTATGGAAGTTGGGCAGGGGAGGGGACTAGCCTATGAGGCGTTCCATCTGGGTTTTAGCCCAGAGCCCTTGGCTGAGCCTCAGCTTCCCACACTGTGCAGGGGGTTTGGAGAGGACACATCCCCAGCTTGCGGCTGTGTGTCCGAGCACGTGTGCCCCTGCCCTGGACCAGCTGCCCGCCTCGGGAGCAGTCTCCATCCTTTCCTACCTCTGTGCAGCAATGTGGGCCGAAGCCCAGCACATCCGGCAGCTTCCTGTGGACCTGGCAGGCTGTGCTGGTGCCCAGAGGAGAACGTTTAAAAGGTTAGAGACCAGCCAGGCGTGGTGGCTCACGCCTGTAATCCCAGCACTTTGGGAGGCTGAGGCGGGTGGATCACCTGAGGTCAGGAGTTCAAGACCAGCCTGGCCCACATGGGGAAACCCCCATCTCTACTAACATACAAATATTAGTTGGGTGTGACAGTGTGCACCTGCAATCCCACCTCTTCAGGAGGCTGAGATGGGAGGATCGCTTGAACCTGGGAGGCGGAGGTTGAAGTGAGCTGAGATCGTGCTACTGCACTCTAGCCTGGGCAACAGAGCGAGACTTCCATCTCCAAAAAAAAAAAAAAAACTGCTAGAGACTTTTATTTTCCTTTCCATCCAGTCAATTCCAGATGAAACCCAGCTCCGAGCCACTCGGTGCCCCCAGGTAAGGACGGTTTGCGGCTGTTCAGCAGCCACGTCTCCTGCCCAGGGGCTGCCCTGGGCTCCCGCTAGACCGTGTCCACCTCGCGGAGCGTGTAGTCCAGGATGGTGTCCTGACCCTGGAACTTGAAGTACCCGTGGAATTTCTTCTTCTGAAGCAGGAGTGGAAACCAGTAGCTGTCATCGGGCCACATGTCCTTGAAGGGGATCTGGTCCAGCTGGAACCAGCATGGGCGCATTTCTGTACCGAGGGGGGAAGAGGGACACTGATATGCAACCCAGACTTCATGCTTAAAAACATGGTTTTTCTGGCTGGGCGCGGCGGCTCACGCCTGGAATCCCAGCACTGTGGGAGGCCGAGGTGGGCAGATCATGAGGTCAGGAGATCGAGACCAGCCTGGCCAACATGGTGAAACCCTGTCTCTACTAAAAATACAAAAATTAGCCAGGCGTGGTGGTGGGCACCTGTAATCCCAGCTACTTGAGAGGCTGAGGCAGGAGAATGGCGTGAACCCGGGAGGCAGAGTTTGCAGTGAGCCGAGACGGCGCCACTGCACTCCAGCCTGGGCGGCAGAGCGAGACTCTGTCTCAACAACAACAACAACAACAACAACAACACGTGTTTTTTTGTAGAGATGGGGTCTCATTATATTGCCCAGACTGGTCTTGAACTCCTGGGCTCAAGCGATCCTTCTGCCTCGGCCTCCCAGTGCTGGGATTCCAGGTGTGAGCCCCGGCGTCTGGCCAGCCCAAACGTACACTGACTCTGAGGAGTTCACCGAGTGATCGTGAGGAACCTGACGATCGTTTCTATTTAATCCTCATGACCATGTTTCTCATTTTAGGGTAGGAAAATGGGCGCAGAGCAGGGGGGAGTACACTGCTGGAGCCTCAGTGCAGAGACCACGGCTCATGGGCCCCACGCTGCACTGTGGGGTGGAGGGGGACGAAGGCTTATGGGCCCCGCGCTGGCACTGTGGGGTGGAGGGGACGCAGGCTGCCCGCTGCCTGGCACTCAGAGATGGTTTGGGCTGATGGCCTTTCTCCCAGACAGGAGATGGGACCCACAGAGTGGGGAGGGGGAGCAGGCCCCGTGAGACTCACCGTCGCTCTCCATGGGGGGTCCCCTGGACACTGTCTGTGCAGAAGACGTGCACGTCCATGAGCTCAGGCTCGCCCACGAACTCAAACACGATCTGGCCCACCTTGTGCAGGGCGTCCACCGTCAGACCGCTCTCCTCCTGCAGCTCCCTGCGGGCAGAGGTGGACGGGGGAGGGAGGGAGGCCGTCAGGGCATGGTGCCACGCCCACACGATGGCAGGGAGGAGGAGCTGGGCATCTACACACAGCCCAGAGAGCCACCAGGGTGGATGGGGGACCCAGGAGGATGTCGCCCAGAAGGCGTTAGCTGGTCCTGACCTGGCTGAGCTTCAGAATTAGCTTGAACTGTGAAGACACTGAGTTTGGTTGAGCGGCTCTGGGGAGGGGCCCGGAGGTGGTGTGGAGCCGCTCGTGGGAGGAACACAGTTCTTGTCTGTGCCGTACGTGTACCAGTGACAGCCCAGGCCCAGTGGAGTCAGCCACTTGTCCACGGTCTCGAGACCTGAGGGTGGCAGGGTGGGGACCAACCCCACTTCCTTCATTCCCGGTTACTTGCTTTTCCACGGCTGAGCATCAGAGCCCACACAGCGGTAGTTATGACCGCCGGCACCCGGGGACGCTGGTTCCGGGAACCTGGGCTCTATACTCTGGGCCTGTCTGCCCCAAGAAATGTCTGTCCAGCCTGGTGCCCCTTCTCTGGGAACACTGGGTGAAACCACAGGCTTCTGTGATCTCTTTCCTGAGGGAGGAGCTCTGGTTTTAACTCTGGCCCCCGGGCTGACCACACGGGACACGTGGCCTGGGCCTCTTCCTGCATGTTCTCGGGACACGCTCCCGACAGCTGTGCCTGGAGGAGGTGTGAGGGGCTGACTTCACCACGGAGTGCTCAAGTGCTGCCGTGCCTGGGAACAAGCCCTTCCCTGCTTCCCGCACTCAGAGCCAGCAGGCTTCCTTGAAGTAGTCTAATGCTGTTGCTAATTTAAAAATTACATATTTGTTGTAGACAACCAGGACACAAAACGCCATAAACTCATCACCCAGGAATGCTACCATTTCAGTGTTTTTCCTTTGGCTTTCTCCTCTGTTCATCTCTTAGAAAATGCAAACATTAACTCTTTAGTTTAAAGTTAAAAAATAAAAATGCAAACAGGTTGGGTACAGGGTGGCTCATGCCTGTAATCCCAGCACTTTGGGAGGCCAGGGTGGGAGGATCGCTTGAGCCCAGGAGTTTGAGACCAGCCTGGGCAACATGGCAAAACCCTGTTTCTACAAAAAGTACAAAAAGAACAACAATTAGCCAGGCATGGTGGCGCTTGCCTGTAGTCCCAGCTACTCAGGAGACTGAGGTGGGAGGAATGCTTCAGCCCAGGAGTTGGAGGCTGCAGTGAGGTGTGATCACTGCACTGCATTCCAGCCTGGGCAACCGAGCTAGACCCTGTCTAAAAAAAACAAAACAAAACAAAAACAAGCAAACGTTATACACACTTTATACCTTGGGCTTTCCACACAAGAAAGGAGGAGTGCGTGACATTCTACACCTTAAGGAATCCAGCCGGCTTCTCAACTCCTATTTGGTATGGAAGAATAAAATGTTTCAACTTCGGGTTATGGTGGAAACCTGTGTTGGGCACAGCGGTGCTGCTGACCTCCTGTTCTGAGCGTTTGCTTGCTGTGCTCAGTAGGGTTCTTGCTCAGTCCCTCAGCAGACGCTTCCCGAAGACCCACTCCATGCTGGGGGACCCTGGGGATACATGGGCTGAGCCACTGGGTACCTCAGTCTGCTTCTGTTACCATGCCCGGCTAATTTTTTTTTTGTAGAGACAGGGTCTTGCTATGTTGCCCAGGCTGGTCCTGAACTCCTGGGCTCAAGCGATCCTTCTGCTTTGGCTTCCCAGTGTGCTGGGATTTCAGGTGTGAGCCACCATGCCTGGCCTAAATGGTCGGATTGAAGTGATGCCTCCTCAGCTGAAACTGCAGGGACTAGAGAGGAAGCAGACCTGGAATCGGCATTTATTCACAGAGATGGCTAATGAAAGTTGGACTTGAGCTAAAAAATTAACGTGTGCTTCTACTTGTGGGGTACAAATGGCTCCCCAATTAGATGCAACAGAGATGTTCAGTGGGGCCTCGCCCGCCTCTTGGCGGCCGGCTGTTGCTCGTCTTCAGAAGCGTCACCTCCCAGTGGAATGTTGTGACTGATTTTAGTTAATCTTCCCCAGCACACGGCAGCGTAGGAAGCATCAAGAATCCTCCGGGAGACAGAGCTGAAGCTCCAGTTCCCAGGTGGGGAGCGCCAGGCAGGCAAAGACGATGCTGTTTCAGTTCTGCCCAAGTGTCTGCTCTATCCATGGCACTCGGTTCCCCACAGGGCAGACGGGGAAGACGATGAGAAATTACATGAAACACACACAGGGTGGTGAGGCCTCTGCGGCGTGGGGAGGTGGGAGTGGCAGGTTCCGGCGGGCCTGCTTCCCATCGCTGCTCCTGCGTCCCTGGCCTCGCTGGTCTTTGGGGATCAGGGATGCTGTCTAGAAAGGTTGGCTCACACTGTGCACCTAAAGCCCAAATCTGCACGCCCCACGTGCCTGTCCCCTGCCCCACAGAGGAGGGTCTGAGTCCAGCCCTCTGGACTGGGGTTAGGCGCTCAGGCCTGCCCCCTGCAGGCGAGCGGGGAGGGCACCTAAATCGGCTCTTGGCCTGGGAGGTAGGGCCTGTCCTGGGGTCCTCCTGATAGAAGAGGGCTGAGTATTGCGTGGATAAGGCAGGGACCAGCCTCCCTGGAGACTGGGCAGCCGAGGCTCCTCCTAAGCAGCAAGGGCCTGGGGTTGCCCCAGGAGCAATCCCGTTCAGACTGGCAGGTACTGCAGCCCAGGGCCATGCTGGTGGCCTGTGGCTGATGGTACCTCATCTCCTGGACGCGAGGCTGTTTGCTGCTGGGTTCCCCTAAGCACCAGCCTGTCTGGCTCCAGTGCCCCCGTTCCTCATGCCTGCAGGTGCTCCCCAATGAGGAATTGTTTCTTTTCTTTAAGACGGTCTCGGCCGGGCACAGTGGCTCACGCCTGTAATCACAGCACTTTGGGAAGCCAAGGTGGGTGGATCCCGTGAGGTCAGGCGTTCAAGACCAGCCTGGCCAACGTGGTGAATCCCCCATCTCCAGTAAAAATACACAAAAAAATTAGGCGGGCATGGTGGTGGGTGCCTGTAATCCCA